GATAATACCAAAGCTGTGTACCTGCATATATTGAACTCATAAAAAACCAATTAACTACCTGTATTTGTAATTCTTTGTGTATTATACATGTATATTAACTCAAAAATTTGAAACTTTAAATGTTTATATCTAATAAACGAATATACTTACATACAAATTCAAATGCCATTTACTATTAAATTAAAAATATTTGTTTCCATTTAAAAAAACAAAGTTTACGCCCTTACATGACATAAGAAATGAACTTAAAAAGTATTATATAGTTAATAATTCAAGAATAATGTGTAACTAAAAAAAACCAGAAAACAAAATGTTTAAATTATTATTACTGTGTGAATAATTGAGTTGATTATGATAAAGAATCATCCTGTATAAGTTTGTAAGAAAAAAAAAATATATGAAATAAATTGTTTTTTAGTTAATGACATACACGAAGCTATAAGAAGTAATTAATAATTTAATGGATTTATATGCACTATATAATACTGAAAATATTTTATTCTAATTATTATTTTGTTCTAATTTATTTATTATTTAGATCTCGATACGACAAGAAATAATATTAGTAAGAAGGGAAAATGTTATTAATAAATAAAAAATTTTTTATTTAGGTCTTAAAAAGTCAGTGGCTAATTTTTCTTACAAAAAATGAAAAATATAACGTTAGAAAATAAATCTTATGGAAAAATATTAAAAATATCATATAATTGTTAATAGCTATATTGAATGTATTCAAAATTTTTCAAAATGTAAAAATGAAAATGTTATTAATATACAAAAATCTTTATACATAAATTAATTTTAATGTATATTTTTCATGAGATATTTAAAAAAATATATTTATACATTTATTGTTTTGAACATATAAAATCATACATATAAAATTAAAAATATATTCTATTTTTTTAGTACATATTTTGTTCCAAGCTATGAGAAGTAAATAACAATTTAATGGATTTATATGTACTGGATAATACTAAAAATATTTTATTATTTAGATATCAATACACCTTCAGGTTTTATTGGTAAGAAGGGCAAATGTTATTTATTCACATAGAAATTATTATTTGGATCATGTTCGACGCTAAATTTTCCTACATAAAATTTAAATATATAACGTTTGAGAATAATAAATTAATTTTTTTAAGTATTTTTTACTTAATTAATAAATATCGCATTTCTTTCAATCTTTTTTGAAATCCAAATACGTTTAAACATTCAGAGTTCTTTTTATACTTGTTTAGATGGAATTTATCAAGTTTTGAGTAAGTATTTAACTAAATTTATATAATTTTTCCTTAATTCTTTTTGAGTTAGAATTTTGCTTATGGTATAATCAATCGATTTATTAAAATTAAACACTATCTACAGATTTGCATCGAAACGTTTCAGTGATAATAATCACTGTCAGATATCATCTATACTAGTCTCAACTATGCCACCCTCACACTGTGCCGCGAGCCCACTATGCTACCGTTCTTTAGCATAAAGTTACAAAATCAGTTTAGAATTTATATGGATAAATAATTAAAAATCACATAATTATTAAACCAGTACCTTCTCATTTTACGTTTCCTTACGATAATGTTACCTGTTTGGACAAGTTTAACTATATTTAAAGTAGCCAAAATTTTCATACAATTTTCAAAATCTAAGATTGAAAAAACTTTTTCAATATACAAAATTCTTTATGCATAAATTATCTTTATGAAATTTATTCGTGAGATATTCAAAAAACTATATTTATACATTTAAAAGTTTGAACATATAAGATCGTTCAAATAATATTAAACATATATTGTATTTTTTTTAGTAAATAAGTTATTGGAAGCTATAAGAAGTAAATTATTATTTGATTTATATCCACTTGATATTAATAAAAGTATATTATTTTGACTTATTTGTTATTTAGATAACAATAGGACTTCAGTTTTTACTGGTAAGATGGATATATAATATTAATATACAGGAATTTCTTATTTAGATCTTGATGTGTCTTTAAGTTAGCCGCTAATTTTTTTATAATTTTTTTAGTAAATATTTTGTCTACAGCTATAAGAAGTAAATTATAATTTAATTTATATCTACTTGATATTGAATTTAATTTACACCTGACACTATGTTGTAGATCTTTTTACTCTTAAATTATAATAAATAATTTAATTAATTAAATACACAA